TCTGGGCTCTATTATGGCTAATTTGACTCCACTTCACTCTCCTTGTTAATTATTAACACTAGCCTTTTTATCCTCATGAGACCACATTCCAATTTTTCTTTTTTCGATTTTTATGAGCCCGTCTTTATGAAGGTGAAAGTCTTGGAGAATAGGTTTTCACTTAGTGTAGAGCCCAAACATTTATTATTCTTTTAGGCAGAGACGCTGTGACATTGATTATATAAGCACGGGTGTTCTTCGGGATGGCTTTAATGTGCTAGCAATGTGAAAAGGCTGTTAATTAAAGAAGAAGCACCATGGCATTTTTCACTTGGGAATCAGTTCCCAATAGAATGGTCATTTGCCACTTGCTAGCATATCCACAGATTAAAAGGTGACTAGCTCTAAGGGTTTGCCTTTCAGTAGTGCTGAAAGAAATGATTTGTGCCATTTGAAGATGGCTTTCATTTGTCAGAAGTGGTCACTTGCCATATCTATTATTGACAGGACAAATGTGGAACATAGTATGCAAGAGTAGAATCTATTTGTACCAGCTTTATAGTCGTTCAGTATCATTTAACTATCGTGCTATTTGCTTTGTTATGAAAACATTTATTTTCTCTCAATTTTAATATATTTCTTTATCAAAACCGTTTCCTTAGATACCATTGAAAGCGATTGCCCATCTAATTCCCTCTTTAGGCGGAGGGAGTGATCAGGGTGAGTGGAGGCGGAGGGAGGGGCAAGCAGGAGATCAGTCTCTTTTGGACAGAAATGAAGGAGCCTGAGTTTGTTTTCATCGTCAGTCCTGCTCTGGGAATCAGTGGGTGAGTCTGTGAGGGGTGGGAGATTGGGGACAGTTGCTAAAATTGTGGTGCACTTGGTACTGTTCCCTTGAGGAAAACCACATTTCATCTCCAAGGGTTCTTAAGGCTAAGACTTATCTTAATCATGACCAACTGTAAGGAAAGACACAAGCCCCAGACAGAGTTTTTTCCTCCTTAAAATAGAAACCGAATTTGCTGTCTTGAATCCCCTTCCGCACTAATTAGTTCAGTCCCTGGAATTCCCATCACTGACGTTTCACAACGTACATACTAAGATAATATATACCTTTGTCTGGTCCTTTCTGTACCCTTTAACCAACTCTCTTCCTCTGACCCCACAACTCAGGGCCTTTATAAAAATTTTCCGAGGTAAAAATAGAAATAGACGCAGAATCTTCTGTCTTCCTTAAAAAGATTATATTACTTGATAAATGTCCCGGAATCCGCTATTGCTACCACAGACGGAGACTGAACTGGAGACCAAGTGATCAGGCCCCATTTCACCTCTGTCCCTAACTCCTGTCAGCAAGTCCCTGCCCAGGGCACATCACCTCCTAGGGATTTAGTTTCTTCAGCTGGAAAATAAAGAGGTTTGTCTAAGATGGCTTCTACCCTCCAAAAGATAAATATTTATTTTTAAATATCAAAGCATATAGATTTTAACAAAAGAAAGATGGTAAACAACCAGTGGGAACACCTAAATTATTCATTAAAAAACAAAAATACCTCAGCTACTAAGTTTTCAAGGCACAAATAAAGTACAAATTCTAACTAACATCTCCATTAGTTGGAGACACGTTAGTAATTTTTATTTTGGAAAAGTAAACATAAGTATGCAACATTATTACTCATAAATCACTACCACTTAAAAATCTATGTAAAATTAGTGGTATACCATTTGTGGGGATAACAGTAAGCACTTTTATTCAGCAAATTATCTCTCATTCCAAGATTGGACATTTCAGAGCAATCTTTGCCTATTTTACCCCTGGCTAGATAAAGTTGTAATTAATTAGAATTTGGACTGTAACTCTAATTGGGTCAACACGGTATAACCTGTCATGCCATGGCAGTGATGTAAGGATCTTTCTTTCAAGGGGGGTTAAAAGGATAGAAATTTTATGTTTGCCCATAAGCTTTCCAAAAGGACAATTTGGGGGCAGCTATAGGTTGACATTTAACTTTGAATTAAATTCACTAAATCACCATCTGAACATCTCAGGAATTTACTAACACACACATAATTATTAACCATATTCTTCATTATTATCAAAGATGATATTAACAGCCAAAAAGTTTGTTTTATCAACTACTGAGATATTATTCAATGGTCTTGGCTTTGGACAGTAACTTGTGAGTTTGGGATGAAAGTCACTGGATTCTGTTTCAATTCCCCAGACGACATCCATACTCCCAATACCAAAAGGAAATTATGACACTGGGGAACTTTTCTATTTACCTCAACTACATAGAGGAGCTGTTTTTCTCTGAAATAATTGATGTTTTCTAAAATCTGTTAATCACTTCAAAATCAACACCAAGTTCTAGACTTACCTCCCAAATTGATAGTACTCAAAAGAGATGAGTAATAAATGCTTCTGTGTTTTGATTGAGTAATATACACTAAAATAACATAAAACAATACTTTATGCATTTAATAGTAACCAATGTTATAGAAATTGTTTAAATCAGGAGAGGAATATGAAACTTTTGAATTAAATATCTGCAAGTCTGGCTAAAAATCAAATTTCTGCTATTATCATTTTAGCATTTTTTTGCTATAATTCTCATACATTTACACTTGTAACATAAGAGCTCTTCTTGAAAATAAATATTAAAAGGTGTTAATTCATTGGCGTTGCAGTTGAGGTTCCCCCAGAAAATTTCTAACATCTATAACATGTTTTGTTTTCTCTACAAAATAAATTCTAATATGTTGAATACGTTAAATAATTCATCATCTTTACTCACTGTTTGACTGTGAACAGTAATAAATATCTCATCTTTGAATAAATTCCAAAATAAATCTAAACATGATCAACTCTTGAGTTTTCACGCAAATAGAGAAAGCAGTGTTAGAAATAATCCTACACTTATCTATTCTCTTTTAGGAACTTAATGCATACTATGTTTATTTATTTTTGGCAGGTGTATTCTATATTTGTTTTAAAATATTACACCTGCTATAATTTTTCTTAGCAGAAAATGAATCATGATAATGATGATAAGTGACTGGGAAAGGCAGAGGGTTATTCAAAGCCTGCTAGGTGGCAGGAGGCAACCAAACTGGAACTTAAAAACTGACTGAGAAGAATTTGCCGAATGAATGATTCACATATGGATTATTGAATGTGGGGTTAGCAACTTCTGGGAGCAGACAGAAGACAGAATTCCTGAAGTAGGAATTGTAGTTTTGTTCTTTGGCTTTCTAATAAGATTTTTTGGAAATGAAATTTGATAGGAGAATTAATAAGATGGCTGAAAGAATCAAGACCGAAATTTTAACAGACTAATATTTATAATATTTATTTAACATCTATTATACATGAGCTATTATCTTATTTAATCCATACCACTGACACTGTAGGTACTATTATTTTCCTTCTTTTACAGATGAAGAACCTAAAGTTTACAGAGGTTAAGTTATTGTCAAAGGTCAAGTAGAAAGTGGCAGAGACAGATGTGAATCTGCCTGGCACCAAAGTTCATGTTATTAATTAATATAACACGATGCCTCTCTTACTATAACAGAGGTTCTTAACCAGGTGTCCAAAATCCGAATGTCCATGGAGAGTCTGACACTACACACAATTTCATATCTACGTGGATTTTTTTTTCAGTAAAACAGTTGCAGTTTTATCACAGACTCAAAGGGATGAATAACCAAAGAAAGATAAGAAATGACGGACTAGAGTGATGAACAAAACCAATAGAATAATTTTTAAAAAAATGAACATAAATGTAAAAACACAGATTTAAGTTTAAACCTAGAAGTACATAGTAGTGATGTCCTGGAAAGAGAGCAGCAAAAAGATTTGGAGCTTTAAATATAACAAGTTTGAAATATATCAACAGTGTGACCAAGTTCCTGGGAGAGTTAGAGTGGCTGTGGGCTACAGGAAGACGGGAGAAGGAAGGCAGCTCTCATCCAGGTCTGGGTTACTCAGGTCACACTGTAAGCACTGTGTTCTTCTCAGAACCACACTCCAGAGCAATACTGAAAAATGAGGTCAGGTCTATTCAGAGGAAGGTGATAAGAATGGTCATGGGCACAAAAACCCTATCATGTGAGGAAGAATTGAATGACCTGGGAATAACGGCTTGGAGAAGAAAATATACAACAGAAGAAGGCTGTTACATGGATCAAGTAGACCAAGCCACAATGAGAGGTTAGGAGGAATTCAACTTGGTTTATAATGAGAAGAATTTTATAGAATATGGAATTAGTGACCCCATAATCATTGCAAGTGTTGAAGAAAAGACTGTTAGTAGTAACCAAACTTAGATTTAAGGGAAGCTTTAAAAAGAATCATCATAGGAAAGGCCCAAGAATCTGTATGTTAAGAAATGTCCCCCTAAAATCTTGATGAAAAACTGGGTTTCTACTGGCTGCTAGATGACCAGGTACCAGAATAATTGTAAAAGTTATTATTGCATTGGGAAAAAAGTCTCAATAGAAAATCTTTACATTCTCTTAAATTTTTAAGTACTGAGAGAGCAACTCATACCACACAGCAATATTACACTATCATCTGTAGAAGCAAATCTCTCTCAGGCAAACAGTATTATCACAATGCATATTAGCAGAAGCCTTAACATAGCGTGATCTCTAGAATAATGATAAATTTCTAAGGTGTCTTTCAGAGATGTAAGTATTTTCAAGTGCTTTAGAAATGTTAACCTTTGAAGATTTTCTGATTCACAGGATACAATGAGAAGGGTGCCTACGTTATCAGTTCTCGATAAAGGCAGGCGACTAGGAATAAGAGGAGCTTCAGAGGCCAGTGGAGCAATGTGGGAGTGTTGCTGGTCTCCCCCAGACCCTGGCCTGATATACTCAGGGAGGCTGAGCAAATGTTATCTATGTCAGCTCTTGTTGAGTGAGTGCCAGAGCTCTGTAAACACACAATCACACACACAACATTCTCCCCACCCTTCCTCATTTCATAGACTAAAGAAAATGCAAGTGCTTACTGTCATTTCTGAGGAAATTATTAAGCAGTTGGAAAAGAGGAAAACTATCCCAGGAGTCTTGTGGTTGAGCCTCCAGCGCAGTATCCATATCCACTGTGAATAAAGCCCAAAATTTCTCTGCGTGCTCTGCCAATAAATCGGGCCACCAAGCAAATGCCTATAAAAAGAAAAAGAAATAATGTAAAAATAGATTACTTGTCAGAAACACACACAAATATGGTGCCACTTGAAAATATGTCATTAAAAGTGAAATGGTAGTAGAACGTTGTAGAGTATGATACCAAATGTTTAATATTTCTATTAACAGAAAAAAATATTGGAAATAAATACACGAAAATATTCACAGTAGTTATGTTTAAATTATGAGATACAAGGAATTTTTTTTGTTTTATATATTTTCAGATGTTCTAAATTAAACATACATTTCTTAAATAAAGCAATGAATGTCATTTTACATTTTAATTCTATTTTAGATTTCATATTTTATTCATCGATGTCAAATTTGATTACTTAAATTTGTATCTCTACATCTATACATTCTCACATTTAAAAAATATTACCTTTTATTTGCAGTAGTTGTTTAATGAATCTAAGGTCTAAAGCTCAAACAGACTTTCATTGAGGGGGATTTCCTAACCCTCCAATGTAAATTAGGTCCTCCTAGATAGTCTCTTTGATATCCAGTATTTTTATTTCACAGGTCTTAGCATTGCATATATGACTACATATCTGAATATTTTAATGTCTGCCTCTTAAATTAGACTATAAACACTACAAAGACAAGTCTATGTATGTTCCACTTATTTCCTTATACTCAGCGAGGCATTTTCTAATGCCTTTTAGGTAACGGCAATAATCACTTTTAAAAATCTGTGTTTAGATGGGTGAAAATAATATTTGCTTTTTAGAAAGTTCTTGAAAATAATGTGGTCTGACTATAAACCACAGCACCAAGCCTGTCTTCCCATGGATCCCAGAAGCAGGCTGCAAGCCCACTGACCCTGGCAGCAGGTCCACCTGCTTGCAGTTCCCGCCAGCCAGCCCACCCACAGACACCAACAACCAGACCAACCAGAATCTCTAGCTGGGCTGACTGCTGAAAGATTTTCCCAGCAGAAGCTAGTCTATGAAGATTGGAAGAGGTGAGTGCTTCTTCAAGTGTGCAGATACGAATGCAAGGCTACAAGGATCATGAAGAATCAAAAAAATATACCACCAACAAAGGAACAAAACAAAGCTCCAGGAACCAACTCCAAAGAAATGAAGATCTACAAACTGACTGAAAGAGTTCAAAAAATCATCTTAAAGAAGCTTAGTGAGCTACAAGAGAAAACATATAGATAACTAAATGAAAACAATACATAAAAAACGAGAAGTTCAAGAAAGAGACAAACAATAAAAAAGCACCAAACAAATATTCTGGAGTTGAAGAATACGATGACAAAAAAATTCAATAGACAGCTTCAGCAGCAGATTTGATCAAGCAGAAGAAAGAATCAATGAACTCGAAAACAAGTAATTTGAAGTTATCCAGTCAGAGGAACAAAAAGAAACATGACTGAAAAAGAGTGAAGAGAGCCAGCCCTGATGGCCTAGTGGTTAAAGTGCAGTGCACTCAGCTTTGATGGCCCGGGTTTGGTTCCCAGGAGCAGAACCACACCACTTATCTGTCAGTAGCCATGCTGTGGTGGTGGCTCACATAGAAGAACTAGAAGGACTTATAACTAGAATATACAACTATGTACTAGGGCTCTGGAGAGGGGAAAAAAGGAAAACAGAGAGGAAGACTGGCAACAGATATTAGCTCAGGGCAAATCTTTCCCAGAAAAAAAACAAGTAGCACTGGTCTCTTGCAGAAGGGAAAAGAAAAGATTTCTTAAAAAAAAAAAAGAAAAAGAGTGAAGAAAGTCTATGGGATTTATGGAACATCTTTGAGCAAACCAATGATATGTATTATGGGAGTCCCAGAAAGAGAAGAGAAAAAGAAAGGGGCAGAAAGCTTGTTTAAAGAAACAGTGGCTGAAAACTTCCCAAATCTGAAGAGGGAAATGGGCATCTAGGTGGAAGAAGCCCAAAGGACACCAAATGTATTGACCTAAAGATGTCCTTACTGAGATACATTATAACTAAATTGTCAGAAGTCAAAGACAGAGAGAGACTTTTAAAAGCAGCAAGAGAAAAGTGACTCACCATATACAAGGGAACCCCCTCCCGTCCTAAGGCCAAGAGCAGATTTCTCAGCAGAAACCTTGGAGCCTTAGATAGAGTGGTAAGATACACACAAAATGCTAAAGAAAAACTGTCAACCAAGAAATCTCTACTCAGAAAAACTGTCCTTCAAAAAATGAAGAGATAGTTTCCCACACAAACAAAAATGGAGCAAGTTCGTCACCACTAGACCTGCCTTACAAAAAGTGCTAAAAGGAATTCTTCAAGTTGAAATAAAACGATGCTCAACAGCAACACAAATGTATACAAAAGTATAAATCTCACTGGTAAAGGTAAATATATACACAAATACTAACGTAATACTGCAATGGTGGTGCATAAATCACTTTTAACACTAGTATAAAATCTAAAAGAGAGAAGTATTAAAAATAACTATTACTACGAAAATTTGTTAATGCATACACAGTATAGAAAATGTAAATCCTCACATCAATAACATAGTGTGTGTGTGTGTGTGTGTGTGTGTGGTGGAGTAAAAGTGCAAGGTTTTTGTATATGATTGAATTTAAGTTATCAGTTTAAAATAGACTGTTAAAAGCTCTAGAGTCCAGTTGAGAGATAAGTCCTTACCTATCAATAACTACTTTAAATGTAAATGGATTAAATCCCCCAATCAAAAGACAAACACTGCTGAATGGATAAAACAACAAGATCCAACTATATGCTGCTTACAAGAGACTCTAGATTTAAAGGCATAAATAGGCTGAAAGTGAAGGAATTGAAAAAGATATTCCATGCAAGTGATAACCAAAAGAGAGCAGGATGGCTATATTTACATCAAATAAAACAGACTTTAAGTCAAAAACTGCCACAAGAGACAAAGAAGGTCATTATATAATGATGAAAGGGTCAATTCTCCAGGAAGATAGAACAATTATAAATATATATGCACCCAACATCAGAGCATCTAAATATGTAAAGAAAAATTAACAGATGTGAAGGGAGAAATGGACAGCAATGCAAGTACAACAGGAGACCCAACACTGCACTTTCAATAATGGACAGATCACCTAGACAGAAAATTAATAGGCAAACAGTAGACTTGAACAACACTATAGACCAAATGGACCTAACAGATATATACAGAACATTCCCCCAACAGCAGCAGACTACACATTCTTCTCAAGCACACACAGAACATTCTCCAGGATAGATCACATGGCTAAGAAAAAAAAAAAAGTCTTAACAAATTAAGAAGACTGAAATCATCCCAAGTATCTTTTCCAACAACAATGGAATAAAATTAGAAATCAACAATAACAGGAAAACAGAAAAATTCACAAATACATATAGATTAAACAAGACATTCTTGAGCAACCATTGAGTCAAAGAAGAAATCAAAAGAGAAATAGAAAACACCTTGAGACAAACAAAAACAAAAACAAAACATACCCAAATTTATGGGATACAGTAAAAGCAGTACTAAAAAGGAAGTTTACAGCAAATAAACATGTATATTAAAAAAGAAGACAGACCTCAAATAAACAATCTAATGTTATACCTCAGGAACTAAAAAAAAGAACAAACTAAGCTGAAGTCAGGAGAAAAAAGGAAATAATAAAGATTACCAGATAAATAAATGAAATAGAGAATAGAAAAATAATAGAAAAGATCAATGAAACTAAGAGTTGGTTTTTTGAAAAGATAAACAGTATCGACAAATCTTAGGTAGACCAACAAAGCAAAAAAGAGAGAAGACAAATAAATAAAATCATAAATGGAAGAGGAGACATTACAACTGACTTCACAGGAATAAAAAAGATCACAAGAGACTATTATGAACAATTATACATGAACAAATTGAACAACCTAGAAGAAATGGATAAATTCCTGGAAACATACAACCCATCATGACTAGATCAAGAAGAAACAGAAAACTTGAACAGATCAAAAATAAATAACGAATTTGAATCAGTCATCAAAAACTTCCCAAAAAGGTTGGGAACAGACCAACAGGACCAGACATCATAAATTCTTCCAATCCATAAACACCAGATGTCTTTCCATTTATTTGTGACTGCTTTAACTTCTTTCATCAGTGTTTTATACTTTTCACTGTAGAAATCTTTCACCTCCTTGGTTAAGTTTATTCCTAAGAATTTTACTCTTTCTGATGCCACTGTAAATAAGATTGTTTCTTCATTTCTTTTTCAGATAGCTTGTTGTTGGTGTATAGAAACACAACTAATTTTTGTATGTTTATTTTACATCCTGCAACTTTGCTGAATTTGTTCATTACTTCCAAGAGTTTTTTTATAGTCTTTATGGTTTTCCACATACAAGAGCACATCATCTGCAAAGATAATTTTACTTCTACATCTCCAATGTGGATGTCTTTTATTTCATTTTCTTGCCTGACTGCTCTGGCACAGATTTCCAGCACCATGTTGGAAAAAAGTGGTGAGAGTGGGCATCCTTGCTGTATTCTGGATCTTAGAGGGGAAGTTTTCAGTTTTTCACCATAGAAGGTGAAAATTTGTTGAGAATTTTTATCATGAAAGGGTACTTAATTTTGCTAAATGCTTTTGAGAATTTGTTGAGAATTTTTATCATGAAAGGTTGTTTAATTTTGTTAAATGCTTTTTCTGCAATTACTGAGATGATCAGGTAATTTTTATCCTTCTTTCCATTAATGTAGTGTGTTACATTGATTGATTTGTGTATGCTGAACCATCTTTGCATCTTATCTTTGCAAGCAAGTGGGATTTATGATCCTTTTAATATGCTATGGAAATCGATGTGCTAATATTTTGTTGAGGATTTTTTACATCCATGTTCATCGGGGATATTGGCCTGTAGTTTTCTTTTCTTGTAGTGTATTTGTCTGGCTTTGATATCAAGGTGATGCTGTCCTCAAAAAATGAGTACAGAAGTATTCCCTCTTCTATTTTTTGGAAGAGTTTAAGAGGATTGCTCCTGGGCTTTTCT